TAGCTAGGAAAAACTCATATCTATTTGTAAAAATGTAGATCTTAGGACCTCCCAGGAGAAGGCAATGTTCTTTTTTATGGCATCTGAGGTCATGGGATCAACACATGGAGAGGGATTGTTGCCTAGTCACTTAACCCTTAGGAGAGGTTTGTTCAGTTAGCTCCAGTCTAGGTTCATAAGAAGAACTGGAGAATCTCTGAGACAAAAGGAAAAACAAACAGATGAGCAGAAGAAAACTAGCTTAGGAAGGAGTTTAAGCTAAAGCTTTTTACATTACCATTAAAACCAAATTTCAAAAGGTAAGTTTATCTTTAAGCTTGAGTGAATGTGGACATGCTATTTTAAAAGTGAGGTAGGAATGTCCCTTGCTTGAAACATTACACTTAAAAATGTACCAGCAAACATATCTTACCTTAGTCTAGAGCAGAGGGGGCCAAACTCTTTGGCCAGCAAGGCAAAAATTAGCCTCAAACCAGGGATCCAGATTTTCCATTTCCCACAGAAAAATAGAGTAAACCGCAGATTTTACCTTTACTGGAGGCAAATGCAGATTTCTCATTTTACTGAAGAAGGCTTGAGGTTTTTCGATTTTGTGATGAGCTCTCTGCAGGCTGGAAGGGTTCCAGCCTGCAGGGAGCTGGAAGGGAGCAGGAGGAGGGCAGTCAGGTGGGGAAGCCACACGCGTGTGTGTACTTATGTGTGCACGCAGCCACCAGGCAGCTTGGAGAGCACCTCCTGCAAGTAAGTCTGAGTAGGGGGGAGGAAACTGAGGCCCTCATAGTCAGGGAGGGTGTGGGTTAGGCAGGGCTGGAGCTGGAGCCCTTCCCCGGGGCCTCAGCAGCCTGGCTGGCGCAACCTGGCACAGCAGAGCAACAGAAAAGCAGCTTATCACTGCAAGCTCTGTGCTGCCCTTGCAATGCACCCCCTGCATGTGCAGCAGCTTTGATCAGCAGAACCCAATGCCCTTACTGCAGCTGCACGCGCAGGGGGTGCATCACCAGGGCAGCACAGAGCTCACAGCAACAAGCAGCTTCTCCATGCAGCTCTGCTGTCCCCTGCCACACCAAGTTGTGCCTACTACATGGGAGGTGCAGATTGAGGCGGCCATGGTGAGGTAGGGAATGGGGCAGGTTTGGCAGCTGGGGCTGAGGCTGGGCCTGGGCATGCTGCCCAGCCAGGGCCAAGAGACCAGAGTGAGAATGCGCAGCCATGGGGCCTGGTAGTGAGAGCAGGATGGAGTGGCTCATCCAGGGGGCTGGCAGGGGAGCCAGGTCCCTGCTCCTGCACCCACTCCTGGGGGTCATGTGCCCCTCTCCCTGATTTGTGCATGGGGCAGAGGCAGATACAGGCTGCCCACTTCAGGCTCAGGGCTCCCCGCTCTGCTGCCCTCTCCAGTAGGCGGGACCTGGAATGGGAGGGCAGAGAGGCTCTGCAGCAGAGGCTCAGTGCTGCCACTGCCACCAGAAGCTCCTGTCCAGCTGTACCACTATGTTGAGACACCCCCTGCACACCTGACCCCTGCTGTGGCCAGGTGGGGAGAGGAGTGCCATGCCATGGCTGTACAGCTGATGCAGGGCTCCTGGAAGCAGCAGCACTGAGCTTCCCTGCCCCGCTCTGCCCTCCGCGCTAAGTTCCACCAGCCTTCCCCCAGGGGGAAGGCAGCAAGGAAGGGAGCCCTGAGCCCTGCAGCAGGCAGCCCACATCCTTCCCTGCCACCTAAGGTGGGGAGAGGAGACTGGGATCCAGCAACAGCAGGCACTGCCTCCCACATGCAGCAGCTGGGGCTCAGGCACTGCTGGCTGGCTGCAGCTAGCACTCGTGGAGCAGAAAGCAAGCAGCGTGGTCCTCTAGCCCTGGCAGCTGGGGTGGAGAGGAGGAAGAGGGGGCAGGGGCTATGGGTCAGGAGTGAAGGGAGATGGGGGAAGCTGCAGATCAAGAGTGAGGGCCATCAGCAAGGGGGTGGGGGATTGTGGGCTGGGATTGAGGGGCACCAGCTGGGAGGGGGAGTTGTGGGTTGGAAGTAAGGGGCATTGGGAATGCTGTGGCTTGGGAGTGAGAAGCAATGGCATGGGCATGGGCATAGGCAGGGGAGGGCACTAGCATGTCAGGGCTGTGTAGCATCACAAAGCAGCAGGAAGGACAGCTGCACCTGGACCCATGTTCTGGAGAACAAAGGGATTAGGGGGAGCTCTGATTTTCCATGATAAAAAAAACAAAATCAAATGCCAAGATATATAGTTATTTCGAAATTATTTTATTCTAATGGTTGAGGCACTGATAGGCTTTCAAACTGCTTTAAAAGTGTAAGTGCGTCAATAAAACATTGTGTTCAACTGATACCTCTATCTATCTATCGACATAGATATATAAATAAAATGGCATTTCATTTTAATGATAGAAAAATGCAGATTTTGGGGGTTTTAAATCAGAGAATGAGGGATTTTTAAACAGGGAAAACCAGGATCCTCTCTGAGTGCCACTCCAGTCCCCTCCCCCTACTTGGTTGACTGCTCTGTTTTCTGTTCCCTGCCCCATCTGCTACTGTACTGTATGCCACCTCCCCAGTCTACCACAAACAGAGGCTACCTGTGCTATTTATGATAGTTTGGCCAGCCTGAGGTCTAGACTGTAGTAGCAATGTTTGTCTGGAGTAACTGGACGGCAAGAGCCTTTAGTTACCTTCAATTGCAGCATGGGCTGAAATTCCCGCACTAGATTCATTGATGAGTCATAAATATTGCTGCCAATTTTCACCCATTCCATGAGGGGCACAGGGCGAAAATTAGTGTGGTACAGCTCAGCATTAAGCCAGGAAGCTAGCAGATGCAAGTTAGGGAGGGTGGCACTCATGCCAACAATCTGTATTCCACCAGAAGCAGGACTGCTTGCCTTTGCCTGTCTGTAATTGGTTAGAAGGAGATGAACATTAGTAAAAACCTAAACCAGTAATCTGGTTCAGAAGACTAAACCCTCTCTAACCCTGCATCCTGACACACAAAGCAATACATTTAAATCCCTGAAGGAGAAGCAGCAATTACTCTATTCTCAGTGTGCATAACTATCAATGTTAGATATTCATCTGAAAATTACCCACCATTTTAAAAAAAGGTGTCTTTAAAGTGTAGCCTCTTGATGCAGCAACAACCACAAGCTGAGTGCACAGCGGGAAAACATTTTTTTAAACATTTCCTTGTGGCAGATTTTGAGCAATCAAGTTATCAGAGTGTGGAAATAAAGAGATGGATCAGTTTTCACCATAACGTTTCTAAGCTTAAATACCACAATTAAGTCCCTTCCATTTTGTCTCAATTTCAAGCTATATAATCCAAGACTTGGGTTTTCAAAAGCAAGTGCCTACAAATGTAGAATCTGAAATCCTTATTTAAGCAACTAACTAACCAACCTCGTTTTCAAAAAATGCTGAGCACCCAATAGTTTCCATTAAAGTCAGCAGGAACTAATGGATTCTCAGTGCTTCTGACAAAACAAACCACTTATTTGGACAACGTAGTATTAAGATGTAAGAGACTTTTTACAAACAAAGATAATAGCCCCAAGTTTGGTACTTAAGTTGGGGCCCTGTTTTAAATCAGAGAATACAGGATGGATTTGATTTCTGAAGTCATGTCTGCTAAAATCAGAGGTCCTGTTTAAGCCTAAATATCAGTCTAAAAATATCCAAAAGCTAATGATGGGCATATAGCCATGATTATATGTTTCTGCTCTGTATAGAAGATACTTAGAAAAAAGTGGAATAACAGCAATTACATGGTTAAAATGACAACAGACACACAAGCTGGCACAATGACTCAGCACAGAACAAAAAGGTTTTTTTCCTTTAAGAATAATGTCAGTGATTAAATGTCAAAATGAATTAACATAAAGCAAAAAAGGAGTAAACAAATCATTCCCCATTTTAAGTATTTAGTCCAGTCTAATGACCTTGATGTGAAGCTGACTGGCAGGTTAACTTCTTGTTCATCAACAACAACCAGGCAGCAACCTGCGCACTATCCTGAACACTACTTGAACACATTTCTTTCAATGTTTATCAGTCATTTCTTGACAGTAGGATCTATGAGGTTATGGAAGTCTACAAAGGGAAGCAGCAGTGGTAAAAACCCTATTGCTTGGGACACTGAAAATTAAATAGAACAAGATGTAGAAGAGCAGCAGAAACAAATCCAATTTAAGCAAATGTTTAAACTAAAAAAGTAGACTAATTTGTTTTAAATTAAAACTTTGCATTAACTTTTTTCCTGAAAGATTTCACTGAATGCCAAAGTACAAATTAAAAACATGACGGTAAAAGTGTTTTTGACTACAGTGACAACCTCCAGGGAGATAATGTGATGAAACTTTAATAACCAGGAGATTGTAGGTCACAGCTCCCACCAAATTCCTGAAACCAGTCCAAACTTTCAAATGCTCATGGTATGGACATATAAACAATTTATTAAAGATAAAAGGCAGCACAGATTTAACACACATCAGCTGTTCCAGAGTAACTGCCTGTATGCAGACTTTAGCTTGCCACTTATCAGTGGGGGTTATCTGTAGTGGCTTGCCTCTCTTTCTCATTGGTTATAAAGAGAAGTTTTTACTAAGAGACAAACTGCCATAAGTTATCTTATGCTTAGGGGAGGGGAGGGCAATTACCATGGAGCAGTGAACTCCTAGTCAGTCATCCCTTTTACCCCACAGCAAATCAATTATGTGCCCATACCCTGAGAAAACGCACGTATTTAATCTACCATGAGTTTTGTGAATTTAGGTGTGAAATCTCCAACCCTGGAAATTTTCAAAAGCTGGTTAGACAGACACTGAGCTAGGATGGCTGTCAGGAATGATCTTGCCATAAGCCAGGGGCTGGATTAAATGACTTTGTGAGGTCCCTTCCAGACCTACTTTCCTATGATTCTACATGCGCTTTGGTATTGAGAGACCAATCTTAGGTCAACCAACCTTTTGGTGACTTTCTCTGTAATAAAACGAACTTTGGTCAGCAGGAGTTCCAGCAGATAACCCCGGTGAGAATCTCCCAGCATGTGCAACTCATCCACAACCACCATACCTACAAAAAAAGAGAAGCTCTACAGATATTAGCTCCCTCAAAGCTTCCTGACAATAAAATAAATAAATAAATAAAGTCAGTCCTTCAGCCCCACTTGAACAGCTGAAATAGGCAGCAACATTTTCAAATCTGTTACACTGCTCCATGCCCAAGCAGCATAGCCATTTTTGCAGGATTTCAGGTACGCTAAATCATACTGCTGAGTGACAGTGCCAGCTACCCTGGCTTCATGCTAATGAGTCTACCTACAGCACCATGTGGACAAAGCTACACTGCCTTTTGAACAAGGCAGCCCATATACAGCAGCATAGCGTGTTTGAGGACACCAGTGCCTGGCACAGTAAGTTTACTGTGTAAGAATGCTTTAGCAGCTAGTAGGACACATCTCAAGTACAGAGACCTCCATCCTGCAGGTATGCAGTACTATTCACATAAGGCAGGGGTGTCAAACTCATCTGGCCTTGTAAGCCAGATAAATAGCATGGGGTTGGCCCACAAGCCAAATCAGGCTCCCACAACCCTGTCCTACCTGCATGCCTGACCAGCACAAGTTGCACCTGCTTAGGCTAGTCTGGGACGCTGGCCCAAACAAGCATCATGGACAGCACATGCCCCCACCTCTGCATGCGAGTGCAGCAAGAGAGGCAGCACCAAGGGTCAAATAATGGGGCTCTGTGGGCCAGGTCCAGCCCACAAGCTATATATTTGACACCCCGATGTAAAGAATAGAAGTTAGCTTTAAAGTGATTGTCCAATGAAGAGAGAGTGTCGCTGTCCAATCCTCCACTCCAGGTTAAAGCTTCTATGCTTGCTACTGAGGCACCTAGTCTCTCACTGCACCATGTAATGTGGCAACCTAAGCAGTGCATAAGACAGGCAGGTCTGTCAGGCATAATGGTACTCTCTGCAAAGAGAGCCATTGAGGCACTTGCTTGAATTACTTGCAGGAGCAACCAAAGTACCCCAACAAAGGCACCCTAGTTTTTCAAAGTGAAGTGCAGCCAATGAGGACTACAGGTGTCCGCATGCAACATTTTGTCAAATGCAGCAACCAGCTGAGCAGTGCACGCCAGGGCCTGTAGTTCTTCCACACAATTATCTCAATTGAAAAGAAGAATAACTAGTCTCTTCTTCTATATGCAAATTAAATGTGACCCTGGAAAGTTGCTACCCTGACCTGTGACCTTACCTGCACTCCTGGGTTTCATATTCACATCCTACCTTACCCGTATTAATGCTCAAACACAGACAGTCTTCAAGTTTTGACAGCCCTTAGCGGCAATTGCAGATGTGACTGAACTTTTCCAGCAAAAAACAAAAAAGGAAGACCTAGAGATTATTTTCCTTCACTTTACTGTGAAAAAGCACGCATACAAACTAAAAACCCACCTCTGGTAACACATTACAGACCCATTCCCAGCTGACACAAACAAGGTGTTTTTTTTCTAGTCTGGTCTCCTAAAACATCTCTAGACTCTTACACTGATACTACACTGCAGTTAGAGGAAGCTTTAACTTGTCTTGTTTACAAGCATTCAGGTAACTGCCACAGACTACATAAATAGTTAACAAAAAATTAAACTGTTCTGAACTGCCTCATGCAGCAGAGAGCTTTGCTGGCAGTAAGACTTTGGTTTCTCTCAACAATTTTCAAAGGCAATCTGAGCTAGCAGCAGGGGGCTGACATCAACAAAAGGAACAGTTCCTGCTTGAGATGGAGCCCAGCCAGGACTGCAGTTGTCTCCCAATAATTTGTCTAAAAAGATAAAACATTCCATTAAGAAACGGTCTAAATTTAGAATTAATTAGGAGAGACAAGGTACAAATCTTGAAGCAGCATACTGACTTGGTTTTGTTTACAGGTAAAGGCATTTCCAGCCCATGCCTGTACTTTCACGCTTTTACAAAACTTATCTCCACATGTTCCCCTCTGAGATGAAATTTGTTAGAATTAGATTACTCCGAAAAAGACTCTCTCACAGGGGTGGCAAAAACTAATTTGCATGGTTACTCAAACAATCAAGTATCAGAAAGTAACATGCAATCAGCAACACAGTTCATTGTTCAGAATTTGGAGGGGATTTTGGCTTTCAAATAATTCAAGAAAATTCTACAGGCTTTGATGAGGTATGAACATGTGGACAGCTGATCAGATCACACGATTGATTGTACACACCTATATGACCCTTCTCTGGCACATTTCCCCTTAGGAGACACAGTGAGGCACAGAAGTGGACGGATGCACCAGCACTAAGGAATTTGATGTATTTGGAGCTTTAAAAAGGTGCTAGTATTAGACAGCACTTCCAAACACACATCTGTTTGTCAGTTGAAAGTATTTATAGTGCAGCTTCCAGAGACCAATATTTCCACGTGCTCTCCTTTGGTTACATATGCAGACAAAACTATCAGTCTCTGTGTTTTCGCACTCTCTTAATTAAAGATCTGCCAAGTTAGTACAATGAAAAACTAAAGCACTCAATGCACAGAGGCTGTGAAACTCAAGGGGAGGGAAGGGTCTCACAGCAACTTAATATGCATTACATTCTCTAACTTATCAAGGTTTAAAATCTCAATCTCAACAGTGCAGTAATATCACTGGCCAGGGCCAATGAGAGAGCGATTCTGTACTTAGTAATGTCAGATAAACCTGTACCTGCTAGGCAAACACAAATGAACAAATGAGCTTTTTCATTGTGCTAGAAAAGTACATCTCCCTCCTCAAAGGTACAGAGGAAACCCAGAATTTTCTAAGGCTACATTTCTCCCTAAAAGCATCTTATTCAATGAACAGCATCAAATCTAGTAATGATCCAGGCCAAAGGCAGTTTGTGGGCCTTAAAGAGAACAAGCTTCCCATAGAACTATTACCAGAAAAAAAAAATATTTTTGGCCATGCAGCCCAATATAGCCAAGCCCCATGCAAGGATTTCACCAGCTGGACTAAAGAGAGGTCCCTCTACAGTTCTATCCCCAAGGTTCAAGCACATAGCTGCTGCCACGTACACTCCACTCCATGCATCTGTACACCCTACCCCTAGAAAGCTTTCCTTGACACAAGCAGCTGCTGCCCAGATGAGAATAGCCACCATTACATCTTCTACCCACCGAGCAACGTAAAGGAGCCCTGACATGGGATCCCTAAGCCAACAAGGCTGCTTGATGCCCCAGATGGTTAACCCTGTCTCTGGAGGCCCTAAATGGGTTTCCCATTTTCTACAATTCTCACACACAAGCAGGCTGCATAAAAACACTCTTCCAAGGCACAGATGGGTCACATCCTAGTTTTTTACCCAGTAAATCCATCTGGTTTTCCTCTATGAGTCTGTTGATTAGACCATTAGCTCTCTCAATCGTGCAGACAGCAACATCCAAGGTAGAGAAACGTCCAGCTGGGGAGGCGCTTCCCATATAGCCTTCAACCTGTACACCCACCTCTTGAAACAAAGCCTGTGGGCCAGAAGGACAGAACATTTATTTGTGGATTAGAAACTTTGGCTGTGATCAATGCATAATACCTGCTGGAAACCTCCCAGTACATTAATCCTAAACAGGAATGCCCAACATCATCCCCCTTTACCAAATGAAGAGCACTGCTGACCAACTGGTGCCTGCTGTCTCCCACTCAACTGTTCCTTTCTGTACCAAAAGAGGAACCAAAACCAGACTGCAGGCTGAGATACACAGTTGAAATGGGACAAACAGCTTTATTACACTGCACACCATTAAGGAAGACAGGGAAACTTATATTGCAGCAGCCAAAAGTGTCAGTGTTTAAAACAGCTTCTGAAAGGAGCTTTGTTCTTGGAAGACCAGAAGTAGAGTCTGAACTGCCTGCCACAGAACAGGACAGACCTATTATTCCCAATGTAAAGACAAAGGGTGGAAACAGACATCACTTTGTGTCGCTTTTGTGCCACCAGAAAAATGGTTTACAGCAGTACAAAGGCCAGGCAAACAGACGTCCATACCCCTTGTCATGCTACAAATGCCCAAAATTTGTGGCCGTAACAAAGGTGGTATTAATCTGTGCCACTTTAGTGGCAGACATATATTTGCTTTGTGGTGGGAGAGCCTGGGCAGCCTGGGGCTGCCCACACTCTCCAGCTGCCCCAGGGAGATGCTTCCAGGGTTTGAGAATTACCAGGGTTCATTCACACCCTGGTAATTCTCCTTCATTAGGTGAAACATCCTGCCCATTGATTTTGTGGGACAAGTGGCATGTTCTCCCAGGGCTTGAGGGGCTTGGTCTTGCACATCTTAGGAATTCCTTGGCAGGATGGGGTTCCTCAAGCCATGGGGCATCACTCAGTAACAGTAGAAAGCCAGGCAAGTGCTCCTGGGACTTGAAGGGTTTGATCCTATACAGGAATTCCTGGGTGTGCAGCATAGGGCCACTCGAGTCCCAGGAAAACATCACCTGTTGTCCCACAAAATCAACAGGCAGGACATGCGTTTCGCTTAATATAGTGGATCAGATGCATCCTGGCACAGACAAACCATTTCATTTGGCAGCATCTATTTCTAGCCAAAGAGAAGGCCTTCATAGGACACCAGAGTGTGAAATGCATTGAATATTCACAGTATTTGCACTCTGTGTGAGCTAGTTACAAACATCTACTTCCCAACTTCTGCTCAGCATGTCATGCACATCAGAGCCAAACCAGACCACCATGCTTCTACATCTCCGGAACACATCATTAATTCCCCTGATTATGGGCTGCATGATTACAGTAAAGGCATATTTTCCCATTAACAATCACTGCAGAAAGTGGTCTGCAAACAGCCCTTGCATCTGGCTTTGTAGCATTTCCTGGAAACTGCCCAGGCTCAAATAACATCTTATATTATTAATCAAAAAAAATATTTAAGTTTCGTGAACAAGGATAGTCTGTTTTCTTCTGCCTTTGCATTTGGTCATTTTTGTTACCTCTTTGCCTTGCATTAACTGAAGGTTATAATATTTGGGCTTAAAATGCGTCAAGGAAAGGGTTTTTTGTAAAGAAATGTTTCTACTATAAATGTATGACCTAACTGGAGAAACTGCAGCAGAACCATATTACATCAGAATATAAAGTTTTATCAACATCAAAATTCTTTACAAAGCTAGACGGATTTCAGTGGAATTTAGGTTTGGGGGAAAGCAAGAAGCAGCATTCCACTAATGTTTAATCATCCCATTTTGACTTTTTCATTTTGAAATGACTTCTTCATTTCAATGAATTTTTGTTAGGTGAATTGTTGTTTCGTATTACATTATTTTAATGAATTTTTGTTAGTTAATGAATTTTAACATGACATTTAAAAAGTCAAAACCAAAATGAAACATTTAATTCCACTTCAAATATTTGTAGGGTTTTGGAGGATCGTCCCTTGTGGAGAAAACTGTTCCAGATCTGCAAAATCCCAAAAAAGTTACATTTCAAAGGCTCAAAGCCAGTTTACAAAACAGGTTTCTGTCCTCTAACCAACTCTTCACCCCATTACCCTAATTTCAGGCTATGCAGTCTATCTACTGACACTCTTCACAACCTTTGATTTGACAGGAATAAGCCAAAGACCCTACAATCTGCTTACCTGAAGATAATACTTTTTCTCTTTGGCCACAGAGACAAATGGGAGGATGAACAAAGCTTTCTTATGGGTCTCCAGGACTCTTTTCAAAATGAGTAACTCAGCAACCAATGTTTTCCCAGCACTGGTAGGAGCTGAAGTAAAGCAACAAAAGCAACGCATGTCATAACTTAAACTGTAAGAAATCAGGTACTGGATGGCTTTGGGCATAGAAGTCAGACACAAGGAAAAATTCTCAAAATGGCCTAAAACTCAATCTTAGGTACCCAAGTATCAAATCGTAGGTACCCAAGTATCTTTGCAATATAAATGCTTTGCAAAATTTGACACACATCTGTTCACTTCTAGGATGCTGATGCAAATCCAGCTCCAATCAGCAATACTAAAAGTCATCCTCACTGTGATGACAGGTCAGTGGCCAAAGAAAACTAGCCTACTGAGCTCAGTCTAAATCCTAATTGAAGGAGAGACACCTGAAAAGCTCCCACGGTTGGCACTAGTTGGCTCTCTACTGCCGGTCTCTAAAGACAACCCAGGAAAGAAATGGACATGGAAACCAGTCTCTTTCCTCATTCATGCAGGAGGTCTCACCAAATGGGAGAGAACAGAGACACTTGGTCTGTTCTTTATCTCTTTTAGGGTAAAGAAGATTTCAGCCTCTGGGGATACCATCCAACAGAATTCATCTGAATCTTCTCAAAGAAGCTTGTAATGCATGAGTCAGCCAGATCCCCACACACCTGAGTAAACAAGGTTCTTCCCCTCCAGGACTTGCCCAAGCATCAGGCACTCTGCCTGCCATTCGAACATATGCACAACTCCCAGGCTGTGGTATTTCTCCAGGACTGCTTTGGGAAGGCCCCAGCTTGCTAGAAGCAACTTGTCTGCTTGGTCCTCAGGAATGTTCATCTGTTGGCATTGCCCTTTGGAGAAAAATGCCACGTTAGCAGCAGCAGCATCACACTTTCAGAAACCTAAAAATCACCTTGCTGGATCAGACCTGCAATGCATGTAGTTCAGTGTCCTATGTCCAAGACAGCCCAGGACCAGACACTTGAGAGGAAGATACAAGAAATCATATGGCAGACAACTACAAAATAGTATCTTCCCAAAGAAAGCTTTTTCCTTGCCCCAAATAATGAACAAGCCCTGAGGCACAAGAGGTTATACATCTTCCAGGAATCTTGCATATGCTTTTAATACATATTATCCTAGATCTGGATATTCTTACCACCCATATAGATTTCCGAATTCTCTCACATTCTGCTAAGCTCTTAGCCTCAGTGACTTACTGAGTTCCACAGGCCAACTGCACATTGCATGAAGGAGCACTGCCCTTCACGGGAGTTTGCCACCCTTTAATTTCTGGACCATCTCTTAGTTTCCAGATAACAAAAAATGGTGACAAGAACCCCTGATCTTCTTTTCCTGTATCATTCGTTAATTTGTAGGCTATTATTATAGCTTGAAGGTCCTGATCTTTTTCAGCCGTTTTTCATATGAGACGTTTGCTTTCTCTCAAACCATTTTCAGCACTCCCACTAAACCCCATCAAACGCCAGTATTTTATTTGGAAGTGGGGTTGCCTGTGTTGGTCCCAGGCTCCAGTTGGGGGTGAATCAGTGATTAACATACAGTGACACTAGACAGCTTCCCTGTACTTTGCACCCTGTTCCTTACACAGCCTACAATTGCTCTTTTTTTGATCGCTGCTGCTGCAGCACAGCAAGCAGAAATCCACACAGCAATCCCACCCAGACAATTTCTTGACTTGTTCTATCTGAATTTAGAACCCCCACAGGCACCCGAGTAGAAGCACAGGCCTGGAACATACCAGGATGATCCAGTCCAAACCCCCGCAGACACACAGGATGGGCACCTGTCTGTTTAAGCCACTCTTTCCAAAGCATGCTGCTCTGCATTTGCACATGAGTGGCATCCAGTGACAACCCAGATGCCTCACTCCATTAGGTCCCTCTCAAATTCTTTATAGTTTTCCTGTGCTCCACAATCCAAGCTCATCTTGTATTGAGTGCCAACTCTGCTGCCATTCCTTTTTCCAGCTCATTCACAGGAGTCCCACACTCTTCCCCTTTAGACACAATGGAAATGGGGGGAGACTTTATTATTAATTCTTGTTGTTATGAATTATCACGGTTGTTATCATCATCGATTGTTGATGTTATTATGGTTGTTATTATCAATCACCAACCATGGTTATTGATTATGTATTACCATGGTCGTTATCATTATCATTAACTACTGTTGTTATTATTATGGCTGCTATAATCAATCATCAACTATTGTTGTTATTATTAGGGTTGTCATTATCATCTATAGATTCTACACTAATAGGTGCTGACTTGTATTTTTTCCAAGGGGTGGGGCCTCAGATGATGGACATGTGCCCCTGCCCCCAAGCCCCCAATGTGTGGGGAACAGGGGTGCATGCACAGGCAACGTGTGGGAAATCAGGAGACAGCACCCGTGATGCAGTGGGGGAGGCATGTGCCACCTGAGATTGTTGCACCTACAGCGGGGCACGGGGTCAGAGCTGGGCCAAGACAAGCCAGCTCTGGGCAGGAGTTGCTTCTGCATGGTGGGACCCAGCACCAGCAGGAGTGCCATGCTGCCATAACTCCCAAGGTGAGGAGCCACTTGCCCACCCAACAGCAGCAGGGGCTGCCGCTGCACTTCATCTTGGCAGGTGGTGTGGCGCTCCCTCTGACACCAGGTCCCTGTGCCCACATCTCTGCTGCAGCCCCATAACCTGCTGTGAGCAAAAAAATCTCAGGGGGCAAATGCCTGCCTGCCATGTTATCTTGGCACCCCTACCCCTCGCTGCCATATTGCCTGTGCCCTCTCTCCACCCCATAGACTTACCTGGAGGGAGCTGTGGAAGCTGCCCTCAAGCTGTGGGAGCTGCTCTCCACCACTGCTTAGCTGCCACATGCATGTGCATGCACAAACCGCCCCCCTCCCCAAGCAGCCCCTTGCAGACTGAAACTCTGCCAGCCTGCAAGGGGAAACCTGCCATTTCCTGCGTTTTTCTCCCTTAAAGGAAAAAAATCCACATTCTTCCAGTGAACAGAAAACCCAGATCCCTGGCTTCTGTCACTGTTCCTAAGAAATATTACATAATTCCCCTCAGGTTTCAGCCCTGATGGCCCTCTTCCCAAGGGGACAGGGCCCTTAGGCCCCCACACACTCAGTGTCTATGTCAATGCAAATTGCTGTTCCTGATTATTACAGCTGCCACCATCACAAACCATAGCAACAATAGTTATTACCACCATCAGCTATTGCTGTTGTTAATTATGGCTGTTGTTATCTCAGCACCAATTGCTGCTATTGATTATTATGAACCCGCCATGACTAACCGTAACAACAATAGTTATTACCACCATCAACTATTGCTGTTGTTAATTATGGCTGTTGTTATCTCAGCACCAATTGCTGCTATTGATTATTATGAACCCGCCATGACTAACCGTAACAACAATAGTTATTACCACCATCAACTATTGCTGTTGTTAATTATGGCTGTTGTTATCTCAGCACCAATTGCTGCTATTGATTATTATGAACCCGCCATGACTAACCGTAACAACAATAGTTATTACCACCATCAACTATTGCTGTTGTTAATTATGGTTGACGTTTTCATCCATACGGATTGCTGCCATTGATTATTATGGCTGTCACCATCACTAACCATAACAACAATAGTTATTACCACCATCAACTGTTGCTGTCCTGCATCAACACCCATTGCTGCTGTTGATTACGATGGTTGTCACCATCATTAACCATTCTCACTGTTACAAGGGCATCATCCTCATCATCCCCGATTGCTGTTGCTACCCATTGCTGCAGTCCTCCTCATCACCAGTCCCCATGGCTCTCACTATGGGTGTTACCTACGCTCCTCACCAGCTCATGTTGCCATTACTATCCCTGCGATCACCACCACTAACTACCACTCACAACAAGCCATGGTTGCGGTTATTGCTGATTTTTTCTTCCAGCGCTGCCATGCTCTGGGGTTTGGGCATTGTTTTAATGTCTACTCTTCGGAAACGAGAAAAGCATAGCTCTTTTTATACCTATACAGGTATATCTATCTGTCTATCTAGATACACACACGCACACATATATATAAAAAGCTACGTTTTTCCCATTTCCAAAGCACAGACGTTAAGCACAACGCCCAAACCCCGGAGCGTGGCAGCGCCGTTCTTAACGTCGCATCCCGGCTGCTGCTGTCCCCGCCCGGGCTCCCCCCATCCGTACCTGAGGGGCTGGGCCCGGGGGGACTGAGTACAGGCCGGCGGGGAGGCGGCGGCGCCCGGCGCGGGGCGGCGGAGAAAGCGGCCGCGCCGCCATGTTCCCGCCACGCCATTCAAACCGAGCGCCGCCGCTGCCGCCTAACGAACCATAGAGCAAGCGCCAGCAGGGCCAGAGCGCCCGCCCCATCCCGGAAGCCGAGCGCTCTAGGCGTGGGGGTAGGGCAACGCTCCTCAGAGCCGGGCGGCAACCATAGAGGCGGTCATAGAGCGCCCCCTACTGCAGGCCACGTACAAGGGTGGGAGTGACAGGGCTTGCTCCGCATACGCAATGGCGGCCTGCAAAACAGGGCAGGGCGGAGCTAGGCCACTTGTAACTGGAGCGCCCCTTAGCAGGGGTAAGGGAGGCACTGGTGGGCTCCCCTAGGCCCATGGCGGTGCAAATACCTGCCTTTGCTCCCCGTGGAAAAGCAGCCTGGCACTCGCAGGGCAGGGGGAACTAGCCCCTGCAGCTGTACTGCTCCGGGGCCCTGAGGGACATCCACCTTAGTGCCACGAGACACAGCACTGTTATCCAGATGTGCTTAGTACACACAACTCTCAGCTACACATTTCATTTTCTCTGAACCCAATGACCAAGAAACTGAGGTTGCATCTATCCCAGCAAGCCACATCAAGGGACATCAAACTGGAAGGCCATCAAGAGCGTGCCACAAGAGCAGAGACCCCAGGCATGAACGCCACATGCACCCAGATGCTGGGGCGCATGGTGACCACCCACAGGCAGTGGTAGCAGGGGTGTGGCAGCGGCAAGGGGGGATGCTCCCACAGGCGCTGCTGCCACTTTTTGCAGGGGGTGCACCGCCAAAGCTTGTGCACCCCCTACATGTTGCCAGTGGCCCCAGGGGCAGGCACAGCTCTGCCTGCAGTGTTGTTGCTGGTGTAGCTGCCCCCCAACAGAAGCCCAGCTGGTAAAAGTCACTGAGGCTAGGGCAGGTGCAGTCACAGCTTCCACAGATGTGATCTCTTCATATCGCTAGCTGACATAGCTCTGCTGGAAGAACTGTGTAGCGTAAATAAAGGCACACTTAACAATAGGCCATGAAGTAGGGGCAGCAGAGAGGATCCCACACATCAAAATCAGGGTTTAGGGACCTACCCCATATAACACCAGAATGTAGGAGGCAGGGGAATTGGGCATCATCCCAGCCTCTTCCACCAATCAAATGCAATGGCAGCAAGATATATTCTATACCAGTGGTGCTCAACCTCTCTGGCCCTATGGGCCACATGAGCAGCACCAGGTCAGTCCATAGGTCTGAGGGCATAGTCAGCATGCAAGTGCTAACCAGCATACCAGTGGAACCCCACACACCAGATACAGCCAGAGCCCAACCCTGCAAGTCAGATCCAGTTGTACCCTGACCATGCATGCTGGCACAATCCAGCTTATCCACACCTCAGGGCTTCCCACAGGTCCAGAAACTGAGAAGCAGAGGAGCAATAGCATTAATTGCCACAACTCTAGCAGCACTCCCCTGCCACCATATTTCTGAACCCTTGGGGCAGCCCAGAGGTAGGATGACAGATCCATGAGCAGGATCTGGTGCACCGGCCAGGGGTTAAGCACCATCACTCTACTCCAGCATTTCTTAACCCGTGGGTTGCAACCCAAAAGTGGGTTGCAAGAATATATGAAAGGGTCATGAACAGACTTTAAAAATGGATCAAGAAACGTATTCCTTCACCGGTCCACTGACTGAGGAGCTACTCATTTCTATAAGTAGGTACCGACCCACCCTCCCACCCTTCTCTTTTGCTACCCAAGATAACAAGGAACCAGTTCAGACAGCACTGAAGTATCAAAAATCCCAAGAGCTGACACACACATTATCATCCAATTTTTGGTTATTCAGTCATCACAACCAGTACCTGTCCATTAGCAACGTGTCTGTCTGAATGCTCCTGCTGTCTCTTCTCTGGTAAGGAGTGCAAGTACTTTAGGATAGGGACTATATTTTTTATTAGGTGTTAGTAAAGGAGGAGTCTATATGCAGGACTCCTAAAAGTGCTGCAATCATGCAAATGGAGACCACAGGCTGAATGAACAATCTACTTCTCACCTGAGTAGTCATTCAGGTCCTTGCTTTTCCCTCCACCACCCGAAGTCACAAGATGTGCAAGTGAAGCAGCATTCAGAAGCTTGTGTTTCTATTTTATCTTTCTTATGGATGAATGTTGAAGCTACACTCAGGTCACCAACACTGCTGAGGAATCTATGGACTACCACAAGCAGTATTAGAGCACCCTGGGTTTTAACTTTTTTTTTTTATTAACAATTCAATGGGCCAAAATAACCTCTCAACATCTTAAACATCTACAAATAACATACAGCCAGCAGGAAGCATTACTTCAACATGCTCCATCTTTGCCAGAAGCAGCTCTGTGCAAGCTCAGCACAGAATCTGAGAATTGCTCATGTATACCATCTACAACCCACAAAGGGATGAATGGACATATTTTCATAAAACATATAAAATCCACTGCCAGTTATCAATAGTGAAACTATTAATAAGCATTATTTACACTGGTTGAGAGGGAGGGGGGAATTTGGGAATCAAACTCTCCTCCTGCACAAGTCTCTCCAAACGAAACTCCCTTCACTTCTAACATAGGAAAATAAATTATCTTTCAAATCTACAAAATGAATCCAATAAGCCAGGATGTATATGCATGGCATCTCCTCCAAGCAAGTATTTTCTTCCATTTTACTTTTATTGTATATGAAAACAGCATTAATTTCACTAGCGTTCCATAGAGCTTCCAATGAATCATGACTATCAGGCAATTCACAGATATTTGGGAAAGACAGAGCATGGTGACACCTCAATTTCTTTTCAGTCTGTCATGCTGGCTGTTAAATTTATTTGGATCAGGTTTTGTTCTCATAGCTTGTTGTGTTGTAGAACATCATATCCAAGGCTGTGTAACTGTTTACCAGTGGTTCAGAAACTGATGAACCAAATTTAAACAGGTCACATTTCTCTGGCCAGTGGTGGTGAAATATGCATAATTTCTGTTAAACTCTCTAGAACCCTTGACAAATAGGGCAAAATATTCAAAGTCATTCTAGAAGTACACACCAGAGCAGTATCTACTGATAGGAGGTATCATTTACCTACTTCCTGTTCATGTGGATTTCACATTTCTATCCCGGTCCTAGGCTCGGACAATGCAAGCATTGTTGCAATTTGATTCCTACTCCAGGACCTCAAAGTCCTCCATGAACAGACCTGTGCTGTCGCATTGCATCATCTTTTATAAGCCGTATCTGCAGCACCTGCCTTCTATGCCAGGTAGAAAGTGTTTCTGCACCAACAGAGGTTGTTGTTTGAGAGGTCTTACTGGTGAGTAAGGGTACTGATATCTGTAGTACTCTCACAAATGCTGTGAAGACTCACCATTGGCACTGACAGATGTGAAAAAAACCCAAACAAGACCAGAACAACTGGAAGCACAGTTCTACCCAGCTCTGCAGTTTCTGTATAGATCGGGTGCTTCAGCGGGACTTTTTTGATGCTTTTATCAAAAGCTGATTCAAGCAGCCATTATATAAAAATGCCAAAAAAGCCCCACTCAAGCACCTGATCTATACAGATATTGGGTGAGGCGGGTCAAACTAATGTAACATCTCTTTTGGGCATGCACTGTGCTCAGAGTGGGGGCGCACAGAGTTTAGCAGTTTTGTTTTGTTTTTTCCTATGTCTGTAAACAGCCTATGAGATTAATCCAGCCTAGCTCTATGCAATTCCTATTCTGCCTTCATACAGGGTGACAGGGTCTTAGGATCCAGCGGTAGTCAGGAAACACCAACAGTACAAGCTTAACAGCCTCCTAGATCTACAGAAGAATTATAAAAGCACAGGGCTTTTGCAGCAACTGGTGCCCCAAATTCTGCAGCCGAAACATAGCACCCATCAGAATGTGAAGTATTCCCACCAATTGGTATCCCCTACAATGAAGTTCTGATCTGCAGGAATAAAGGTCATTCCTTAATTTTCCCTTCATTAAAAAGAAATTTGAGTTTAAAGTGAAACCACATCCTTCAGGAACAAGAGTTTAATGCTACGTTTCAACACATTAGGGCAAGGAATGCCATGCAGATACATATGCACAAATAGAACATGCGCCACAGTTAAACCCCCTTTGACAAAAGTAATCTCTCAAATATATGTATTTTATTCTTTAAAGCCCACTACTTGCATATATTCTCTGCTGCTTTGTTTTATACAGGCCAAGTAACTAATACCCAATGTTTACCAAGAGTTTCCAATGCCATTCAGCACAACTACTTGGTGCTTGCATGAATCTGGCATTTAGATAACTGACACCTCTTCTCAATCTGTAAACCAGAAGGCTAAATACTTTGGGAAACAAGGAAAGGTGAGTCTTCCTATGGAGCCTAGGCTCTAGAGGGCAACACATATGAAGAATATACACATGAAAAAGTTCAGAACAAAACTCGTCTTCACATAGTAGTACTGGGAGAAAAAGAATTGTGGGGAAGGTTGTTTCTAGTTAGCAAAAAGCAGAATGAAAATGCATCCCTTTGTCAGATTAAAGAGACCCAAATCAGCCGGACTGCTGCCATCTAAATAGTCCCCTGTTGCTACTAAAACATGCTTCAATCTAACAGGCTGTCTTAGTCAGAACAGTATAATTCTGTTACAGCACTGCACCCCTCCTTTCCTGATCATGTCATATCCCCAGAAAATCTCTGCAGTTAAAAAAGGCTCTGTTTAAAAATAAAGTTGACTTTCATCTGAATTTTGGGGTTTTCTTCATTGTAAGAAAAATTGTGTTAGCATAAGATTTTAAGCTATTAAAACCAGGATTACAAAAATCCAGAAGTGCTTGATTTCTACCATATTCTGAATGAGAGCTAACTACCAACCAGCCGAAGAATTTGGTTTCTTAAGTAGGTGCACAGCTGGTTCATCAAGTCTCTGTTCTGTCCTTCAACCCAGTGCATCTCCACTAACACATCATCCCCTTCTTTCTTCAGATTCATCAAACACTTAAAAAGAAAGCACCCACTAGTTCCTTGGGAAGTTTGTCCTTTTTCAGTTGTTAGCTTGCCAACATCCTCTGGAGTACTGGACTCCTCCTCGATATTGCCAGAGTCTTCACTCACTAACACTGCTTCCACTTGCTTTGTTTCTGTGTCCTCTTCCATGAGGTCCTCGCTGTTTTCTTCTTTTGCAGGAGAATCTTCACTTTGCCGGTCAGTCTTGGTTGAGCTCACATCTTCATCAGGTGTCACAGACTCTATTTCAGAACTTTCAGTCTTGTTTTTTTCAGAATCTAAGCTCAGATTTTTTTGACTGCTTCTCTCCTCTTCCATTGCTTGCAGGATATCTTCAGAAGCTCGAGGAAGTTCTCGTAGTTGTCTTACTCTCTCTCGTTTCTTTCTTCTCAAATGAATCCAAGAATTCTCAATGGCTGTTAAAAAAAGACTAGCTTCACCTTTTGCAGATGGAGCGCTTTTATGCTGAACCTGTTATAGGAAAGAGCAGAATTTTACAATCACTATTTACAAAAAAGGCCCATCTAGAATTACTACACTGTTCCCACATGTAACACTTAATGTTGTACCTTCAGATCAGCAAGTATTTTTTCTATCCATGCTGTAACCACAGCTATTGCTTCCACAACATCCCAGCCCATTACTAAAGCTTTGCTGGATAGTTCTTTGATTGTGGATGCCAGGACCATAAATGTAATCGGCTTACGAGGCTTTTCTAATTTTCTTCTTTTAGAGGGAGGTGACTACAAAAAATAAAACAAAACAGTGAAAACACAGAGAACTGATGGTCTTTGTGTAAGTCTAATATTAATGTGATGACTTTCACACTCAATGCACAAAAAAAGCCAACTGTCACACCCATGTCTGTACTATAGCATGCATTTACTGACATGTCTTGTGCCTCACTCTACCTTCACAGATAACTTTTAAGACTGCCTGAAGAGGCACATATATTTTAAGCTGGCCTGTTGCACAGGGATGAGTTTTACCCTAAAGTATTAAAGACCTTTATGGGTTCCCATGTTTGACAGTTTCATCTGTTTCAACAGGAAACTGTTAAACATGGCTCCCAAGACTGCACGAGACCCTCTAATGTTACAGCTCTGATCTTATACGCATTGAGCCTGTTCACTACTTCTCTCACACTCAGTTATTGCACATACTAATTGTATGAAAAACATGTGGCCCCATAAAATCAAGAGGTTAATTTAGGTAGTAATCAAAACTTCAGTTTCACCAAGACATGGAAACTGAAAGATGCCGACACAGTTGCATCTTAAATTGCAACTCCACAAAAAAGGTAACCTGAACAAATTCCAACTCTGTTCAAAAAGTGGCGTTTTTTGTTGCTAAATCCATATGGAGGCACCTAGAAAGAAGTGACCCACTGAAACCCAGAGACAAGTCTTTTTTTACCAGATTTCTTTCTAGAGAAGCTGGGGTTCAAAACAATTCTCAAGTAACAGTTGATTACTGGTCCAGTAAATGATTAATTCTGCCCCAAGTGCAGGCTTGCACTGCCATGCAGCTCAGACCATTGTTTTCCCCACCCAATCCCTAAGGTTGAAAGGAATAGTGTAGTTGTGTTGTAGAGAAATGTAGGTGGCCATGAAAAACAAACCAAACCCCAAAGGCTTACCGGTACATGTACATCATCATAGAAGCTCCATGCCAGGGCCCACCTCATGGTACGGCCTTGACAGAATTCAGTGTGAGTTACTTTAGGAACCTACAAAGAGCAACATAAAATTTCAAGTTAAAAAGCTGTCATTCTATTGTACACAACTTTTCACAGACAAAAAGCACTGTTAATATAACAAATTAAGGTTGCCCTATGTGGTATTTGCCCTTCCAGAATGTCAAGGTCAGTAATATAAAACTTCTGGAAACTGGGAGATAAAGAGTTACGGTTATATTGGTGCAAGTCTTAACTCTGCCCTTAAAGAACCAAACGTGACCAAAGCACGTATATTTGCACTTCACCTTTGCAAAAAGTACACACCCCTCAGGAAAAGGGCACTTTATAGCAAACAAGACAAAATCTTATGAATAAGTGAGCTGAGAACAAGAGCTGCCATGTCCAGCACTCAGAAATACTGAGGTTACTCCCCACAAATACCCTTTTCACATTAAACCTTGCACATGCTTACATTCATGGGATTCCATCCAGCACTATAATGCTATCAGTTTTACAGTTGTGATGGTTGTTGTCCTCCTAATGCAGGAAAAATATTCCCCAACTATCCATGATTAATCTAGTGAATGGGAGATAGTTCACCTCCCAATGACTTAACAAGTATCTGCTTCAATTAGCTATGGTAAATAAAATAATCAAATCATAATTCAGTTTTCTGATGTAGCTGCAAAATTAATCTGAAAAAATATCAAAATAAATCACTGCTTTAAAATGTATAGTGTGTACCTTCTACAAATTAAATCTACATCTATATCTGTGTTGTAAATAATATGTATTAAGGTTATATCAAACAACAAGAGTGCACTTTTTGTAGAAAACAGTGATTAAACCAAGGCTTCCTGACCAATTATTTAAATTGTCGTTTAAATCAATTCGATTTAAATCAAATCCACCCTGCTATAAGGCATGATCAACTAATTAACTGCACCATAAATAGTAACAAGGCTATACATGCAGCTGTCTGGTAGCATCACAAAGGGACAAACCAGCCAAAAAGGTGTTCCACAAAATATGTAGAACATCTTTGTGGCTTGTTTGTATAGTGCCATAACTTGTATGTGTAACATCCCCACGCTGATGCTGTCAATCATTTGATGACAGAGGTTGTCATTGGAACTGGGACAACCCTGGCCCCACTGCTGAAAGTGGCCTATTAGGAAAGCAGTTTGCTGAGTTAGGGGGATGTTTTTGGACATCCCTGTGCATGGGGATCCCAAAATCAGAGAGCTTCTACCCAATCCTGGGGTCTCTGTGTGCTGGGACCTTTAAAAGCCATGTGTGCAGTCTGGGAAGGGGTTAATCAACTGCCCTTCTCCAGCATTTGCAAAACCATGTCCCAGGCTCCCTGCTGGCACTGGCACATTTGGGATCCCTGATCCCAAAATTCATGCTTCCTGCCATGCATGTGTCACATGACAGGAGGTGCAATTGTTGAAATCGGGGATTAGATCCCACTGAGCCATTAAGTGAATATGTGCCAAACCCCTGAATGGAAGCAAACTTCCTCTATAAAAGAAGTGTGTGTGCAAGTACTCTGAAGCACATACAGGGAAGCTCAGACCTTTCCAGAAAGGCAACAATAACCAGCTCTCAGACCAATGACAAAGCTGCAAAGCTGCTCCAACTAATCAACCTCACCATTACATATAATTACACTTAACAAGGAATGCAGCTGAGAGTTCATGCAGATAATTCCCAGGGGCTACCAACAGCTCTAGGGCCAGAGTGAAGGTACATGCCAATGTAACCTTAACTCAGCATTCACCAACTGTCAGGGTATACAGAGACCTGATTGTCAGCAAACTCAATATTCTGGAAGGTCACGAACCACCACAGACCACCCTTAGCCCATTTTTTGGGGGTAGCAAAGGCAGTGTTGTAGAAGTACTTGTCATATATGCAGCAAAAACACTCCTGTAATACCACCAAGCCTACAGAACACTCCCATCAGTAGGTCTTAAAGCACTGGATATTGTTATCCAGAGTCTACACATATGGAAATGAGTGATGTTAAGGCCACCCAGCAGACTAACAGCAGAACCAGAAATAAAACCATACATCAAGTCCCAACCCAGTGTCCTCTTTAGGTCACCCTGCTGCTATGTAGTTCTGATGCACAGTCATTCCCCTAATCCTGTAAACATTTCCAGGCGTAGTTTATTTCCCCATCTCAAATAGTGTGCGCTCCTTCATCACTACCTGCTGTATGAAGGCTAAGTGCTCTGCAAATACCATCCCTGACAGAAGTGGACTGGCAATGCACCTTCCCAGGTTTCTCAGACTTCTACTAGGATCAGGTGAAGAAAGATGAGGGGGCAGTGACCATCTTTTCTGCTGCCCTTTGTGCCGCCCTGCCAGCCAGCACTTTCCCATCCCCTCAAGGATTGCTGACTCCCACTGGGGAACTAGCATTTTATTTTTATTAAATTTTTTTTTATTGTTGACTTTGCAGACAATCCTGGATTTCAGAGTGTCCACAAAATCCATGAAACCACAATGTAAGAAGATCCCTAGTCATAATAACAGAAGGGGAAGAATAGGATAAAAACAACAAGGTAACAAAACATGAGACATAATTCTTAACTAATCATAACTCACCATCAGGCCCAGGCATTAAACTGTAACAATACAGACGGTGAGATTGTGAGGAGAGACTTGCAGATGGCCTCATGAATTTCAACCAAGAACATTTCCCATTCACCAGGGAGAAAAATGCAGAAGTGTTTGTCCTGAAACTGGCATCACTGGTCAAGGCAAGAAACAACTTTGTGGTAAAAGCTCAGAGTGAGGGGCCTCATGAAGAAATTGGGCTCACACCACAGAACAGGGGAAGCTATAGGGACTTAAAAGCAGGATGCCTGAATGACAAAGTCAAAATGATCTTGATGGCAGCCAGCTGAACAGATAGGAGAAAGCCTGCAGGCATCTGGTTCAAGGCAGGAGGATACTGAGGAGTCGAGATCCAAGATGATCAGGGCCTAAGAAGAGTTTTGGCAGTGGGAGTAGGGAAGGAAAGTCAGGTCTTGGAGATGCAGCCTGGACATATAAGTCAAGGAGAATAGTCAAAGATGAAGCCAAGATTATAAGTCTGAACAACAAAAAGGATAATCATTCTGTCCACAGCAATACAGGAATTGGAAAGAGGGGAAGGTTTTGAGGGAAGATCAAGCATTCCATATTAAGTCATGTTAAGTTTTACTCAATAGCTGGACTTCCCTCAAGGAAGCGTCAGAAAGACTAATTGAAATTTTAGTATGGATGGATAAAAATTTGAACATTTCAGATACAGTGTTCAAAATATACATGAAATCATCAAAAATAAAGTATAAAGGGAGAAAAAGAGAGTGCTGAGGACAGTCCTAAGTGACACCCATCCCAAGATGGAGAAGAAAACCTACTGTACAAGGCATCAAAAGAACAATGAGATATGTAGGAGAAGCAATCAGAAGATGAGTGTCAAAGGCAGCTACCAAGTCAAGAATAACAAAGGAGGAGTAAGTGGCACCAATATTTGGCCAAGAAAGGTGTTATTACAGGCTTTAGTGGTAGCCATTTTGATGAAGTGCAAGAGGTAAGAAACATGAAAGAGTAGCATTTCAGGACAGACATAGCCAATTCTTATCTGAAAACTCAACTGCGTTCCTTCAGGACTAGATCTTTGCAGTCCCCAGCACCTTTAAATGGCCTTGTATTATAAAAAAAAAATCTCAGAATTAAAAAAAAAGGATAAATTAAAATGCAATGAAAACCATGGATTCCATCATTCTTCATATTTACTGCCTCTACCCCATAATATCTGAATAAAAACAAAATCCATCACCCTGATGGAAACTTCTGCCAGAAATGTTTACATGTATGATATCTGGTACTTACTCCTTGCTAGTGATGGAGTGTAAGCTGCCGTATCAGAAAGTGAAAAGATTCTGTTTCTGCCTTCCTCCCCCCACATGGGGAGGTCTTTACTGCAGGACAAATAAATGGAATAAATACAGAAATTGCCAGCCTCTGCTATTTCTAAGGAAACCCACTGAGACAAGATGCTGGTTGGAAGAAGCAAGAAGGCTGGTGTTTAATACCTAAAAAGCCAATTCACTGTTCAGTAAATTAACTGATCACCTGGGGCAGACAATCAGGCCTCTTAATGTGTGTATATAGTCCTTCTCATACTGACTTCATTAGTATACAAGAGTACAAATCAACTGAGAAATAACATAACATCACAGGTAACTCAGCCAATGGCACTATATGATCTAAGCCACCACCCCTTGCTTAACTATAAATCATTAAAAACTTTGCTTAATTATTTTATAAGCAAGTTTCTTCAAACATAATTGAGGGACTAGTTTTCAATTTGCTTCAACTATGAAGTGTCCAAATGGTAAGTCAAACGTGTCAGCCAGAAAGGCAAGGAAGAAGATTAAGAAGGTTCTAAAGGAGTTTAATAAATTCTCAACAATTAATCTGGTTATCAAAGAGTACATTCTGAAAAAATAAAGACGACATAATATTTCCTTATGAGAGTGAATCTGCTCAGAGTTTAAAACTCAGAACTACCAGTTCTGCCATAATATAGAAGCACCTTTCAAAGAACTAATTAATATTAAATGCCAGGGTAGGTAATGCACACAGAAAAGATCAAGAAAAAGTACATGCAACCTTACTATGTTTAGATAAAGACTTACCCCCTGGATACAAAGCTCTTCCTTTAATGGAGCTAAACTGCATTTCTTTCCTAGCATGCAGCTGTACCATCTGCAGACAACAATTTACAATCAATGCTTTTTAGAAACACAGATCAAATGAAATTAGCAACTAACTTCAAGGACCATTTCCACCAGAACTCTAAAACATCATAGAAGAGGAATGCTCTCTTGCTGAAATTGTACAATATCCCCACACGTATAATATGATTTTGCCAAATGGACCAAATGGGGAACCAAGGAAAACACTGGAAAAGAAGCTTCCATACTGGGATTTCTGAGATTAGATACTAAGCTTTTAAAGAGCATCTAATTAGGCAAGAGTCCCATTCTGTGAGGCGACTCCAGTGGTCTGTAAAAACGTCACTGTTTAGCAATCACTTATTTTAATAGTTCAATTTTTACCTTAGTGCGTGAAAAAGATATAATTAATTACAAACTACATGTCTGTATTAGAGAACCAGGTCTACCACCTAGAAATTCCACCCAATGAAAAACCAGTGTAAAATTGTTTCTCTCAATTTCCAGCTGTCTAAGCCCCACATCTCAGCAAGTAGGATGAATTTGTTGAATCTCCTGACTATCCTGGTAAAGAGCAGTAATTGAGGAAGGTATGCATCTGCTGACATGGCTAGCTGAAGACATCTTTTTAGTTGGCCCAAAATCTGGAATAGAATTAGTACAAATTCTTCCTGAGTTTTATAAGAAGTATGATAAAATAAAAGTGCTCTGCATCCCTCAGCATCAAAGCCTTGCTCTTGAGAAATCAACTCTGATGGATGGGCCACTGCATCCAGATGTCTGAGAACCACCTCCCTCGCCAGATTCTCTTTTCCCAGCTCTTCATTGGCCAAAGCTCAAAGGGTAGCCAAAGGAAACGGTACAAAGACACACTCAAGGTTGCCCTCAAGCACGGAGGCATTGACACCAATGGCTGGGAGAAGCAAGCTGCTGACTGTTTGGTGTGGTGCCACCTGGTCCACCAAGGCACACACCACTTGGAGGCCCGATGCCTCGATACTGAGGTGCAACAGTAGCGGCAGAGGAAGGAGGAGGAGACCAACCTGGGGCTGTGAATCCCACTCTCCTGAGCAACAACATGCCCCTGCCGCCACTGCTGAAGAACGTGCGTATCCAGAATCAGGCTCCAATCACCTGAAGACCCATATCAAGCCTGACAGACGTCATCCTTGACTCCGGAGGGACTGCCAACAATGATGACAAGTCAAGATCAGCCTGGTTGATAGATTAGTCTGCAATCTCACTACCTATTGTCATGTGCAATGGTACAGGGAGTCCTCAACTGTCTTGAAAGAATCTAGCACTATGCCTTTATCTCACAAACAGCAGTGAGGACTTTCATCCTACTATACAACCCATTACCAACTGGAAGTTAAATATAATTCCAAAAGTTGACAGGACAGCCTCCAGTACTAACAGCCAATAATTTTTTTTTTTCTCTGTGTTTGGAAGAACAATTTTTATTGCATCACTCTCCTCTGCAAAAAAAAAGACAAGCAAGCTTAATTTTCTTGTATATTAAGGAACTGTTTCTACATCTGTTTCTTGATAATATGGTGCTACAAGCAATTTTATCAGTTTAATCAGTCGCCAATTACATCACTTCTTTCCCTGTATAGTTTTCCTCCTAAGGAACAAAGCTGATACTACCCGAATGTCTGCAGTAATTAGAACCGCAGCCAAACACATGAGAATTACCATAAATTGTGATATTTTAAGTTGCTTTAAAAGATCTCAGACTTACTTCCTGCTGGTCTAGGTTCTTTTACTTTCATTTTATCATACTTCCTATAAAACTGCAGTCTAAGAAATTGTTTCTTTTTGTAACAAAAATAAAAAATACAAAAAATTGAATGCCTCAACAGGTCTCTGGCCCTGCAACCAATGCAGCTCTCCATTTTTAATCTCAAGACCTTCAAGACAGAAAAAAGATTTTGGCAGTACCTACATGATGTGCACTTCTAATGCAATACTCTGGCTCTGAGGGCTAATAATTGCCAGAGGTATGAACAAGTGAATAGCAAACCAAAGAAAGGAAAACAAATATTACCTCTATATAGGCGACTCACAAAACCAGTGAAATATATGGACATTTAATGTACAAAGTCTCAGAAGCTTATTAAAGTTTGCAGAGAATTCAGAAGATCTACAGGCATCATTTACAAGTTTGGCAAAAATCATACTGCAGTGGACAAATCCATTTAGCACACTGAAGAGAATGTTTAGAAGTGGTCTCATCATAGTCTAGGCTCACTTCATTACGTAGGGAGAGGCAACTGATGCTAGAGGGCTCTAATCTAAGAGATAAAGTTATGCTAAGACCTAACAGCTGGAAGTTTTAAATCAGTAAAGTTCAAGATGAAAAGGTTGCATGTTTTAATTGTAACAGTAAAAGAGCATATTATCAAGGGATATGGTAGACAGCTCTTTCTTGTGTGTCTTTACATCAAGGCTGGATGCCTTTAAAAAAGTTGGGGGGGAAGTATTTTCCAATTCAACTACAGGCTGCTGGACTACATGAAGTTCACTGGCACCAAGTGTAATGTATTAATCTGAAAAAGAAAGCGTCTATCAACTGCTTTATTTTATGTAAACTTTGTAGTTCTTGGATGTAATGCAGGTTCATGTGTCAAATGAGTTAAGCAATCTCTTTGGAAAATGGCTATTAAAAGAAACAAAAGTTAATTTGCCACATAATTGGATTTTCACACAAACCAAGATGTTTTGCAGTAGTAAAAATCAGTTTGAAGCAATTTCCCCCAGGGAGAAAACGGGACCAGTTCTTACCGCAATCTCTTTTTGAGCTGCAGACTATCATGGATTATTCTTTTTACAAATTCTAGTTCTCCTCCTTCAGCCATGATCTCAGTAATCCCCCCAGTGTTTACAGAGCTGGGAGGGGGTCGTCGAGGATTTCGAGAATTTACACCCTGGGCAAAAAGATCAAGCATTTATTAGAAAGAAAGTCACTCCCCTCAACTGCCTGCCAGGTCCTAATGCCATCAAACCAACCGCACTCCCCGTATAAAGTAATGCTTACACATTTTAAAGATCAATGTAAGTGTAACATTTTAATATTACATCTCTACCACCAGATAGCAGAAGTCTATCACAGTTCATTCCCATTTTTTCAGTAGATGGGATGGCAAAAAACATCCAGTGTCAGCAGAGGTGAAGACTTGCAGAAAAGTTGCATTTCACTGAGCATTCTGACATAGCATTCTTATTTCATGAGCACAAATTCTGAACCTTTTTAAAAAGTCTCCTATCATTCCTTTTCCCACCACAACAATGGGGAGGATGAATTTAAGATGACTGCCCCTCCCCAATAATCAGATTTAATATGTGGAAAACTAATACATTTATAATCCATGTATAGAATCTAATTATGGGGGCGTCATTTTTGATTCAGGTAACTATGGTATACAACATTTAATCTGTAGACATACTATACCTGAGCTTCCAACTGGTTGGCAAAAAAGGGAGGATTACACATGCAAAAATCATAAATGATCTCAGATTCCTCTTTTAGAGCATCCATTAGAAGCGTCTTCTGTGGTACTTTAACCACTAGGAGAAAAAGAAGGTTTCTTTGGTGAGGAACTAAAATTAACTTCAGTATCTTATATGTTAATTATAGCCTAAATCTGTCAAAAACATATACAAGCCAGCGCAAGCATTAACCACTCTCCATTGCAAATGAAAGCTTTACTCTCTCTCGTTACAGGAACATATGTGAACAGGTCTTTCTTACACATGGTGAAATAGAATTGCTTTGCAGCAGCTATAATTATAATGAACTATTAGATGCAACTATAAACCCAATCCTTATCCCCTCAAAAATCAGCACAATCTGTTGCATCAGTTGCAAAATGATAATCTAGATGAGGAGCAGAGGTAGAATTTTTACAAAATATTAGCAGCCAATTGGACATGAGAGTCCAGAATTACTATATCCAATAAAGGTGTTCAAAATTTGAATGTTTTAACTTTTATGACCATTTAAAACAGGAAAGGATGGGAGGAGAGAGGGGACAGCCCTAGATTAGCAGACTGTCCTGGCTGAAGCATAGCACACAATATCAAACCTTACTTGAAATTAATTTACAAGGATCAATCAGAAAGCAATGTCTCCCATTTATTCCCCTTGGCCAAATACTATTGAAAAAAAATATTACAACTACACAGAAAGTGTGTATATCAAGGATGACTGATGGAGAATGAGACTATGTTGATGTGCAAATTTTCTGTACAAGGTTAATACCAAATTTACTTGAATGTAAGACTAGGCTTTTCCACTCTATTCAGCACTGGGGGGGTAGGGGGCACAACCACTGGTCTCAGAATTGAGTACAGGTCCAGCAAACAGCTGCAATGGCTGGGAAAGGGGCACAGGAAGCACAAGGGAAAAGGGCAGAAAGGGAATGCCAGGAAATGGATGTGCAGAGTGAAGGGGCACAGGGAAAGGGACACATGGAACAAAAGGAAATGGGATGGGGGAAGGGACACATGTAGGAAGGGGAGTACAGTGCAGCGGGGAGCAGGAGCACAGAGGAGAGCAAGAGTACAGGAGAAGGGACACATGGTGTGGAAAGGAGCCCAGGGGAAGAGACACGTGGAACATGTGGAAAGGGTGCACAGGAAGGACAGTGTGGAGGGGAGGGCAGGGAAAGGGATGGCAGGGGGAGTCCCACAAAAGGTAGCCCTTTCAGCCAATCAGCAGGGGTAACCATCTTGGCTGCTCCCCTTTGTGATGGCAGCTCCCCCTACTGGCAGGCTGCAAGGCTGGGCTGCAGCAGTCACTGGCTCCTACTAGGAAGCCAGCATTTTATTTTTAGTAAGTTTTTCCCCCCCAGAGATTCCATGCAAGCTGCAAGGAACACTAGTTTTTGTAGTGATCACGGAAACTGCTTTTTTCCACGGTTTCTGAGAAAATTGCAAAATCGTGAACTGAGTAGTTGCTTGGTAATATGAAGCAGGGGGCAATAAAACAAAGGAGGAAATATGACTTGATTTTGGCCCTTATTCTTTATGCAAGTAGCGCAATTACACCTAAGGAACATAAAACAGGTTTCAAAGTATTAGAGAAGGCAGATGGTTTGTTCTTCATTAGCCCAGTATATTTTCCAGTGATGGAAAGATTCATTTTCATCTTAGTTCTTCAAAGGAAAAAAAAGACCACGAATGATGATTTAAGTCATCTACTTCATTCTTCCCACAGGAGCATATTCTATCCAAACACAGGTTCCAACACCACCTGCCCATGACAACTAAAGTTCTCATTAGAGGGCATCCCAATCTAATAATGGCCTCTCATTGTTTGAATTTTGTACCGCAGACAGGTAGATTTCTAGGTCAAAGACATGTTTTATTAATCTTAAAAAAGAGAGAGGTTTAAGACAAGCTTACTGCCAGCATATCAGTCTGCATGCTGACATTTTTAATTAATAAATGTATGTCTTGTACAGGGGAAATACTGGGTCAGTGACTCTTAGTACATTTCCCAGGCCATTTGTCTGGAGGAGAATATAGACATTATTTAGCCATCCAAATAAGGGTGTATTTGGCAACAGATAGGCTTCTAGAATACACTTCTTTAGATACCTGGTAGGTGTAAAAGATCTAATTTTCAACCAGTAGTTTAGAGTTCTTAACTGAGCTAAGGTGCTCACATTTATCAGAGTGCATAAGCCTCCCAACTGTAGAATAACACAGAGAAAAGCAGCCTTAAAAATTAATTAGAAGCCTTTCTGGTTTTTGGATGCACCCTAGGGTCACCACCTCCGAGTTCTGCTCTATACAATAAAATGGACTCTACCTTGAATCTACAGACCTTTAGTGCTTCCAAAACTACTCTTCTATCTGTCATCTTGTAAAAAGAAAACACTCCACCCAAGGGTTGTTTTGCTCTAGCATTTACATTTTCTATGTGCTTATCCCAGCTCAGATTTTTGCTAAAGTAGGTTCCAAGGTAAAGGAAGACACCATTTGTAGTTTCTTTTCCTATGAAAATCAATCTTGTTTACCCCCCCAAAAATACCTTGGTTTTCGCTCAGCATCCAATTAGCAAGAGCAAAAATTCTCAGTTGTCACCGAACATGGCAAATACTTAGCTATATCTGTTTAAAAATAGAAGTGGAAACACGGAGGGAATTATAGCTACTTATATTTATTCTATGGTACCTTTTATAAGATCAGATAAGTTATTCTGTTCCACATTTTTCTTTGCATAATTGAAGCACATATCATCCACTTCTGTTGCAAGGAAATACCAGCCATTCAATGTGGCTCCAAGTAAAGGATAGATGCATGATGCCCCTGTACCTGCCAAGAAAGAGATTAAAAAAATAAAAATCAATGAAACTAAAAAACCAAAGTTTAAATATATTACCATCCTTTGGTACAATATACATGTTGTTATTACTGTTCATGGCAATCAGCTTCAAGAGAATGCTAACCAATATCCAACCAACCTGACAATGAGAAAGTAAATGCCTTTGCTTTCCAATTAAAACAAGAACATTTTCAAAGACACATTTACTTCATGGAAAAACCTCACCTATTCCAGACATAGGAACCTCAGTCAAGGACTGATCAAGCTAACAGGACAGAGCCCAATTCACACACTAATGGCTAAGTATAATTCCAGTCTATTCAGAAAGCTTAACTAATTTATTACAAAAATGTTTCTCTTCTGTATTTCTCAGTTGAACTAGTCATACACTTTACTTATTGCATCAAACATGAGAACTTCTTTGTTCCTTCAACTTTTTTTTCTTGAAGGTTTGACACAGTCTGAGGCTCAGTATAACCTATGCAAGAAATGAGAACAAAATATACTGTTTTTCTGATAAGAAAAAGAAGAGCATCTTAGTATGACTGGCTATATGAATACAAAGTGACTGAATTGTACAAGATACAACCATCTGGATGACACATATTACTCAATTACTAATAAATATGCATAAGTTAGTTTATCTGGCAGGACACTGAGCCCTCAAACCAATATTAAATAAAACGTGTCCATAATATGAGAAAGACAGTAAGGGAGGAGTGCTGTCTTTCACCCAAAGAACTGGATATTTTGAGAGAGTACTTTGGAATCAGACTGAACTTTTTACTTTGGTGATAAGTGTTACCCCCTACAGATTTTTATTATAACCCCTCCACTACACACACACACAAAATTAGCTAAGCAAGCAGGTCTGGGAATACAGAATTATTTCCAATACAGTGGAACAAGAGAAGTACTTGAGACAACCTTTTTGGGAGCTGTTAGACACTACCTCAGAGATTTCTAAAAGAAGGTAAATTTCAGGAAAAGCTTATCTGAAAAGGTATTTTAACCGGGGGGTG